TTAAACCGCATCTGATGAATCCTGTTGGAACATCATATGCTGTGTGAACTTAAATTCATAAAGTTTTATGACTTGCTTGGAGATATTCTCAGCCAGAAGGATAAATAATTTTTAGAAATACTTTTAGAATATGTTATTTGTTTTTTTTGTTTTTTTTAAAATTTTTATTTAATGTGTATACATGTATTGCCTGCATGTAGGTAAGTGCACCCATGTTGTGCAATACCCCCGGAGGTCAGAAGAGGCTGTTGATCCCCTGGGACTGGAGTTATAGACAGTTGTTAGCTGCTATGTGGGTGCTAGGATTCAAACCTGGGTCTTCTGCAAGAACAACCAGTGTTCTTAACCACGGAGCCATCTCTCCAGCCCCCTACTTATTATTTTATGTGTATGAGTGTTTTGCCTGGTGTATGCATGTATTGCCTACATGTAGGTAAGTGCACCTGTGTTGTGCAATACCCCCGGAGGTCAGAAGAGGCTGTTGATCCCCTGGGACTGGAGTTATAGACAGTTGTTAGCTGCTATGTGGGTGCTAGGATTCAAACCTGGGTCTTCTGCAAGAACAACCAGTGTTCTTAACCACGGAGCCATCTCTCCAGCCCCCTACTTATTATTTTATGTGTATGAGTGTTTTGCCTGCATGTATGTAAGTGTACCTGTTTTGTGCAAAGACCCCAAAGACCAGAAGAGGACGTTGGATCCCCTGAAACTGGAATTTCTTTTTTTTTTTAATTAAAAAAAGCTTATTTTTATTTTTTATGTGTGTGTACTGCCTGCATATAGGTAAGTGCACCCATTTTGTGCAATGCTTGCAGAGGACAGAAGAGGCTGTCGGATCCCCTGGAACTGGAGTTTCAGACAGTTGTTAGCTGCCATGTGGGTGCTGGGATTCAAACCTGGGTCTTCTGCAAGAACATTCAGTGTTCTTAACCACTGAGCCATCTCTCCAGCCCCCAGAACTGGAGTTTCAAAGGTTGTTAGCCACCATGTGGGTGCTGGAAATTGAACCCAGGTCCTCTGGAAGATCAGCTAGTGTGCTTAATTGCAGAGCCATCTCTCCAATCCCGTTTTTTTTTGTTGTTGTTGTTGTTTTTTTTACAAAAGATTTGTTTCTTTTTATTTTATGTATTTGAATGTTTGGCCTGAATGTATGTATGTGCACCACATTCATGCAGTGTCTGTGGAAGCCAGAAGAGGGTGTTGGATTCTCTGGAACTGGAGTTACAGACTATTATAAGCTACCATGTGAGCTCTGGGAACTGAATTTGGGTCCTCTGCAAGAGTAGCAAGTGGTGAGCCATCTCTCAACCTTAGGCAACCTTTTTTTTTTTTTTTTTTTTTTTGACAGTGTCTCATGTAGTCCAGGCTGGCTTCAAACTCCCTATGTAGCTAATGCTGGCCTTGAGCTCCTGATTCTCCTGCTTCCACCTCTGATGTGCTGAGATTACAGGCTTGTACCACTGTATCTCTCTTAAGACTTAACTTCTTAGTTTATGAAATAGAATAAGTAATGATGGAATAATAAATAATAGTATTCCCATAGGGTGTTTATAGGTTTACAGAAGATCATAGTGTAAAACACTTAACCACAGTGTTTGGCACATACCAAGTCCTCAGTAAACATTGTTGGAATGGCTTCTTCCTGCCATTGGCATAACCCTGCCCACTTCACTACTCCGCACTCTTCTTTGCACCCCTCACTGCCAGCTCTGATTTAGTAAAGCTGGCGCTCCCTCCCCAGGGCATGACAGTGTACAGGATTAGACTTTGCCTGGGCAATTGGAAACCTTTCCCCAGATCCCTCCCCAGGACAGGACAGCAGGGGGGCTCTATTTGGGTGGCTTTAAGGCTCATAACCCCAGCCAACCACCTGGGCCACCCCTCCACAGATGCTTATAATCAGAGCAGATGCAGACACACCCAACCCTGTCCCACCTCTGCCCCAGACCAAGGCAGATCTGAGCCTGAACTGCCCTACCCTGGATGGCAGTGGAGGCCTAAGGAGGAAAGCTGTAAATAAGTACCAAGCAGTGTGTACAGATTCTATTCACCAACTCTTCTAGAGAGGGCCCCTGAGAACCAAAGTCCAGAGACCAGTCAGGCTGGTCCCTTCTGTCTTCTTTTAAGGCGCTGAGATGCTTTGAAACTCTGTGTGTGTGTGTGTGTGTGTGTGTGTGTGTGTGTGTGTGTGTGTCTGCTCCCACTTAGAATTCAAAAAGGGATGTGGGTAGTGGAAGAGTGCCAAGGTTGGGGTGTGCAGGTAAGGTGCTCTTGGGCGATGCTCTCCAACCTGCCCTTGGAATGAATGTCCTCCCTCAGCCTACACTTGCTGGGCGTAGCTGGCTGGTGTCTCCTTTCGGAGCTAACCCCTGGTGGTTGAGTGTGGCAGCTGCCTTGCCTGCCCTGTTGCTGTCTATCCTCATTTTCATGGACCAGCAGATCACAGCAGTCATCCTCAACCGTGCAGAATACAAACTGCAGGTAAGACTGTCAGATAAGGTCCTAGGCAAGGAAAAGAAACTCCAGGGTAGGGTCCAGGCTACACCTCTTTGACAGAGGGCCCAGTCTTGGGCTAGTTTCAACCCTCCCCCCCCCCCCCCCCCCCCCGCATTCCTTACAGAAGGGAGCTGGCTTCCACCTGGACCTCTTCTGTGTGGCTGTGTTGATGCTGCTCACCTCAGCACTTGGGCTGCCCTGGTATGTCTCAGCCACTGTCATCTCCTTGGCCCACATGGACAGTCTTCGGAGAGAGAGCAGAGCCTGTGTCCCTGGGGAAGTCCCCCACTTCCTGGGCATCAGGTGAAGCCTATATTCAATAGGCTGGCATGAGCAGGGTGTGGCAAGGTGGTTATGGGATACACAAGTTATTTGGGTAGCTTGAATTCTATGCTTGTGCCCTATGAGCACTAAGAGGGATAAGTGAGTGGGTTCTGGGTGCTGGGATGGATGAGATCTCTCCTCCTTCAGCCATGGGGACTGGGAAGGGAGTCTCAAGAGGAGCACAGGTGGAGGCAGCAGGGGCTAAAGTGAAGGGTAAGGAGACCTAACAGCCTCCTGTCAAGGTAGCTGTTTCAAAAGAATCCATGACAAGAACAATTTTGTAACTGTCGGAAACACAATCTACCTAAAATATATGTAATTAACTTTGTAAACTGTGAAATGTTTTTTTTTTTTTTTTGAGACAGGGTCTCCCTGTAGCCCCAGCTGTCCTGGAACTCACTATGTAGACCAGGCTGGCCTTGAACTCAGAGAGATCCGCCTGCCTCTGCCTCCCAAGTGCTGGGACTACAGGTGTGCGTCACCACGCCCAGCTGAAATGTCTGTAGAGCAGTGGAAAAACTGCTAATTTCCCACCAAAATAAAAACAAAGAGCAACTATGGGGCCGGAGATGTAGCTCAGTGGTAGTGCTTGCTTAGCACATATGAGGCCCTATGCTCAATCCTGAGTACCACTAAAGAAAAAAAAAAATCAAAACAAGGGCTGGTGAGATGGTTCAGTGGGTAAATGCACTTGCTGATGACTAAGTTCAGTCCTTGGGACCAATATGGTGGAAGAAAAGAACTGACTCCTGGAAGTTGTCCTCCTACCATCACATGTATGCCATGATAGCTGCACACACTGAATTAATATTTTTTAAAACTCCAAACAAAACAGAACAGCGATGAACTTGAACTGGTGGAGAGGCCTGGAGCCTCATGTTGAAGTACTTTCCTTTCAGTTTTTCACAGCAGGCTAAGGCCTCCTGCCAGGTAACCTGTTGGGAGAATCCCTTTACCTTTCCTCTGGCTTCCGGGTCTATACTGGGCCTGGTTAAGGTTTCTAGCCTGGGTGCTCCAGGAGAGCACTTCAGACCCAGCTAATTCTTCCTTCTCCCCACAGAGAGCAGAGGCTGACAGGCCTGGTGGTGTTCATCCTCACAGGCATCTCCATCTTCTTGGCACCAGTGCTCAAGGTACCTCTGTTAGACCATGATCAGGATCAGTGTAGCAATAATAATAGAAGTGACACTGGTTGAATACTTACTGTATGCCAGGCAGGGTGTTTTCTCTATATATATCTTCACTTAATTCTCATGGTAAACCTGAGAGACATACATTCTTTTTTTTTTTCTTTCTTTTTTTTTTTTTTTTTTGGTCTTTTTGAGACAGGGTTTTTCTGTAGCCCCAGTTGGACTGGAACTCACTATGTAGACCAGGCTGGCCTTGAACTCACAGAGATCTGCCTGCCTCTTCCTGGGACTACAGGCATGTGCCACCATGCCTGGCTAAGACATACATTCTTTACAAATGAGAAACCCAAAGGTTAAAAATGTAAAGTAACTTTTTTTCTAATTGTTGTTTGTTTGATTTTTGAGACAGAGTCTCCTTGTGTAGCCTTGGCTGGTCTGAAACTCACTATGTAGACCAGGCTAGTCTTGAATTTACAAAGATCCACAGGTCTCTACCTCCTGAGGGCTGAGATTACAATGTGTGCTACCACACCCAGTAAAGATTTTAAGAAGCATGTAAGTGCTCACCAAGAGATCCAGTCTATCAGCTCTAAGAACATAAACTTCCAGAGTATGGTGGCACATGCCTGTAATCCCAGAACTAAGGAAGTTGAGGCAGGAGGATTGCTGCAAGTTTGAGATGAGCTTGAGTACATAGTGAATTGTAAGCTACCTCGGGCTACAGTATGAGACCCTGTCTCAAAATAAATCTGAAAAGGGGCTGGCGAGATAGCTCAGCCCGTAAAGGCCTTTGCTTCAAGCCTGACAAACTGAATTTGATATCTAGATCCACATGGTGGAAGGACAGGATAGATTCCCACAAGTTGCCATCTGCTCTGTACTGCATACACACATACACACCACAAAATAAATAGATAAATAAATAAATAAATGTAATAATAATTTAGAAAGAAACCAAAAAAGACTGGGCATGCCACTGTCCCCTAGGATCCATGTACTACTCTTGCTCCAGCCTCCCAACAATTGAGACCTAGCATAAACAAAAACCCTTTATTTATCTCTCACTCAACGCTTATGGAACGAACATCTTCTGTATACCCCACTCTGCTAGACACCTGAGAGAAGCAGGGGACATGAAAGGAACATGAAACCAAGCTCTGCCAGCAACACACGCACACACACACACACACACACACACACACACGCATGCACGCACGCACGCACACATGCACAAAGTTAAGTAACAAGTGACAGAAGAAAGGGTCAACAAGCCAAGATAGTAAAGCAGTCAAGGAGGGTGTGGAGATGTCAGACAAGAGCTACTGGCAGAAGGACAAGAGACAGGAGGCTAGGCAAGGGAAAGGTCATGGAGGCTGGGTGAGAGTAAGGCAGTAGGAAGAGCCAGATGGACTGGATCAGCCACTTACTAACTAGGTGACTCTCATAAATCATAAACCAAGCGCTGTTCTAGGAACCGAGGATACACAGTGGTAATCGATATGCCATGTTTCTATCTGCCTTGAAGTCTTTTTAAAAAAATTAAAACAATAGAATAACTTCAGATAATGATAATATCTATGGAAAAATAAAAGAGGATAAGGTGCCAGAGTTGGGCCAGTAAGATGGTTCAGTGGGTAAAAGCACTTGCCATGCAAGCCTCATGACTGACCTGAATTCAGTCCTTGGAACCCACAGTGGAAGGAGAGAACTGACTCCTCCAAATTGACCTCTGACCTCTATACACATGCTGAGGCACACATATAACAATAAATATGTAAAAATTTAAAAGAGTGCCAGGGCTAGTTCGGATGGGCAATCAGAAAAGACCTTTCCAGGGTAGATGAGATGAAGCAGGGGTGGTGAGAAGGAATTGGCTTGAGAAAGTCCAGGAGAGGAGCATTTTATACTCATTATTTGAGACATGTTCTCACTATGTAGCCCCAGCTAGCTTAGCTCTTGCTATGTGGACCAGACTAGCCTTGAATTTGTGGCAATTCTCTTGCCTTTGCCTCCCAAGTGCTTGGATTGTAGGTGTGTGCCATCATACCCCTTTCAGAATATTTTAAGAATAGTAAAGCAAAAGGCTTTGAAGGGGAAGGAAAAAACACCAGCATATTAATAGAGGGAAGACACTTATGGGAGCATATAGAACAGAAGAGAATGTGTACATAAAACAAGAGGAAGCTGGATGTGGTGGCACATGCTTATAATCACAGCATTCAGGAAGCCAAGGCGGGAGTTCTATGCAAACCTGAGTTATATAGCAAGACCATGTCTTGGAGAAAAAAAAAAAAGATTGGAGAGGTAGGTGAGATAAGGGCAAGTTACTTTTCCTCTCAGTTTTCTCATTTGTGAAATGCAGACAATAATATACTTTACTTTGCTGGGTGTGGTGGTGCATGCTTTTAATCCCAGCACTTGGGAGGCAGAGGCAGGTGGATATCTGTGAGATGGAGGCTGGCCTGGTCTATCTATATATTGAGTTCCAGATCAGCTGGGGACCCTGTCTCAAAACAAACAAACAAAAACATATAATAAAGAAAAGACCTGGTAGGCTCTGATGCTGGAGGCCCAAGGTAGGACATCTGGGTGGCTGGAAGGTAAGCTTTTTTTTTTTACTAGCTTGCTACTTCTTTCTACCAGTTCATCCCAATGCCTGTGCTCTATGGCATCTTCCTGTACATGGGGGTAACAGCACTTAGCAGCATCCAGGTGAGCTAATTAAAATCACCTAGCAACCCTATCCCTCCTGCATACATTTGCCAATTCCCCTCCTATCCCATCATATTACTTCTCCTGGGCATAGGAACTCAGCTGCCATGCTCTAGATGGGGAGGCCCTGGGAGCCTTCTTCCCTTCCCCACTGCTATGCTAGGCTAACAGTGACACCTTCCAAACTACCTGAATACTGTGCTTTTCTTTTTCTCTCATTCTCCAAGTTCATGAAGAGAGTGCAGCTACTGTTGATGCCAGCAAAACACCAGCCAGACCTGCTACTCTTGAGGCATGTGCGTCTGAGCAGAGTCCACCTCTTCACAGCCATCCAGCTTGCTTGTCTGGGTCTACTTTGGATAATCAAGTCCACCCCTGCAGCCATCATCTTCCCCCTCATGGTGACTTGAGGAAGGGTTAGGTGGTTCTGGGAGACTCTGAGATGGGAGGGTGTCTGAGGCCTCTATAAGAAGAAATCTGCTCGCTCTCTCTCACTTTCCCTGGCTCTTCCTAGTTGGAAATCCTAAGATAAAGAAAGATGGCTGAGGGATACTTACAGATGGGCTAGTCCTGGGATTCGACTCACCAACTTTTCCAAACTTTTGGGGCTGATCTACAAACCAAGAAAACAACTGAGATCCTGGAAAGGCAATGCTGACACTTTTGTTACTCAGTGAGGTGTAAGAGAGGAGAAAGGAGCCATAGGCTTTGAAGTGTGAAGTAGTACCACATCCCAGGTGTGTGACCTTTGGGATGCTACTAATTTTTCAGGGTCTCAATTTCCTTGTATGTACAATGGGAATAAACTGCAAACTGGGTGCAGTGGTTTGTGCCTGTAATCTCAGTACTTGGAAAGATGAGGAAGAAGGATCACTTTGTGTTTGAAGCCAGTTGGTGTTACATAGTGAGTTTGAGGTTAACCTGGACCTCAGAGTGAGATCCTGTCTCAAAAACAAAACAAGGGGCTGGAGAGATGGCTCAGCAGTTAAGAGCATTGGCTGTTCTTGCAGAAGACCCAGGTTTGAGTGCTGGGATTAAAGGTGTGCACCACCACACTGGCACAAAAAAATAAATATACTTTTTAATGTGTGTATATATGTATGTGGGCATGTGCATGTGGATGCCCACGGAGGCCAGAGGCATTGAATCTTTTTGGAGCTGGTATTGCAAACCATTGTGAGTCACCTGATGTGGGTGCTGGGGAACTAAACTCAGGTGTTCTGGAAGAGCAGTAGGTGTTCTTAACTGCTGAGCCATCTCTCCAGCCCCAAAATAAATACATTTTTTTTAAAAAAATAAAAATTAAAGCCAGGCGTGGTGGTGCATGTTCTTAACTGCTGAGCCATCTCTCCAGCCCCAAAATAAATACATTTTTTTAAAAAAAATAAAAATTAAAGCCAGGCGTGGTGGTGCACACCTGTGAGTTCAAGGCCAGCCTGGTCTACATAGTGAGTTCCAGGACAGCTGGGA